CTTTTCCTTCTCCTTCTATATTTTCCAATTTATTGCCTTTTAATTTTCTTATTCTTTTCACTTTCTTCCGTTTTATATTTTCTTTTTCCCCATCCTTTTCCTTTCCTTTTATTTTCTTTTCTCTTTTTCTGTCATCATTTTCTTTTGCTTTTCTTTTCACAATTTTCTCCTATTGTAGGCTTATATAAAACAAATCCATGAGACGATACAAGGTAACCTCTTGGAACGTACAATTTATTAACCAATTTTCTACTGCTCCTGCTCTATTCTTCGGGGTTGACATAATTTGACAATATAATTATACAAAACTACACTTTTATATATTCTTATACATCATTTAATACAACATTACATTAGCTTGTTTTTACAACATGTTTACAACTTACACAGAACTTTCTCGTTGAAGCACTATACTATGCTCGATACTATCATAACTTCATCAGTCCAGATATTTTGATGATTCTTAATTTATTGTAATATACTTTAACTGTTTTTACGAGTTTTAGTGGTTTGTTCTATAAAAGATATTAAAAATCGTTCTTAATAATCATTTATACATGTTTAAACTTTTAAAATATTTTAGATATGTTTTATTCATTGTACATTGCTTTTTATATTTATTCCATGACCAACTGAAATTCCTCCTTGGCAATGAAGTATTTTTTGAATATTTGAACTTTGAACTTCGTTGGCAGGCTGCTTGTTGTTGGCACATTCGCTGTTAGGTCTTACGTAACAATATTCGCCAGTCCAACGTGCGGCAGCTTTAATATTTTATGCATTAATCCAAGTTTGATGTTAGTTTTAGAAGAATTCCTCGTTATGGTAATCTACTATGGCCTCTCTTACAGAATTAAACGTCTTAAATTCATTATGTTTTGTTTGTTGTTCATAAACTGCTTAGGCCTTATTTGAATGTAATGGATTACAAAGTTTCATTGGTCATTCATTGGTTTTAACAGTACGCAATGAAAATCGCTTGATATTATCATTGAAAATCTATATTAGAAAAGTTCATAACCATTCCTGATTTGCAAAAGTAATGACGTCATAAGTCTGTAAATACTAAGTAAGCCTAAATAAATATATATGCCTATCAGTATATTACGCGCATCATGTCATAAAAAAAGAAAGCCTTGTTTTTTAAAAATAATATTACGTTGCATATTAGACAATGTGATTTGACATACAGTGCACCCTCCAATTCGAGTCCCCTCTAATTCCAAGACCCCTCTTATTCGAGACTACTTTTTCAAAAGACACAAATAACAATCTTCAAACATCTTAACACAAAGCTACCCTTCTAATTGGAGACCAACCCCGAGACCACCCCAAATTTCGAGGTCCCAAAGGTGGTCTCGAATTTGAGGGCGAGATAGCATGAAATAAACTTTAATTAATAACGGCTTATTCCTAAAGATATAATTTATTCCTGAAGATTAACAAAAATATTTCGAAATATTAAATTACGATGGCTAGTATGATGTGATATGCTGAAGTGATTTTGATATTGGTAGGCCTATATGATCGCTAATACGGTACTATCCGGTGTTCTACACAAAGAAAGAGCAACCTGGTAAGGCTCAATAGAGCACCATGATTAGTGTATAGGAGCCTAATTTAAATTCCAAAAAATGTAGCGTCCCTGCATATGATGAGATCCCGGAGTCTCTCACGGATAGTTGCCTCAGATAATAGTATCGTGTCGTTGTTAGGACTATATGAATTCACGTAAGTTATACATAAAAATCACAAGCTACATATTGATCATGTATGTAGACTCTGAAACTTACTGCGACGAAAGCTCGCAGGAAGTTCACATCCATTGTCTTTGGTTTATAATATTCAAAAAGGTTCTACAGATGTTTTATACTGTTGTTGGTTTTTTTTAAAACATATGTTTTTAAAGCATTCTGACTGACATGAGTGATTGAAGCACATGACTATCGGGAAATCATGTTAAAAACAACTTGCCAACCGCAACAACAACAAGATAGTATTATATATTTTATAGGCTTATACTGAGTTAGACAATCGAAAGCCTTGTCATACTGAGCAATTGAACAACACTAGTTCTCGATGCACCGCAAATACCAAAGATCAATATTATACGACCCCTTTAAGCTTTGAATTAGTGTATACGAGACAGGATCTCCGAAAAGACAATCCTTTAATAAATAATGGAAGAGTGAAGTTAACACTAAACCGCTTTGTGGCAATATATACATCAGTAAAAAAGAGGAATCTGCGAGTGTGAAAAAAGTTGCCCCAATCGGGTACGAATCAGGGATCTCTGTTGTCTATAATCAAAGCCACTGATCGTTCACACTCTTTTGTATATGCGTAGTTGAACAGCACTAGCTCGCGATGTAAATATATAGTTTCTGCAGTATTAACGAGATACAATGGCTAACCCAAAATGTTAAAATATCCATTTTTCACTAGCTAGTAGTCCTACTATTTTCAAATCACCACATCTATATACACCGATCCATTCACAGTGATTAATCTCCTTCTGGCTGGGGATTCGGAGGTAGGTAACGCCGTACATATGGACCTGACATATACGCAGGGGGGGGGGTGGAGTTCCAATAGAGAGCGCCCTTAAAGAGTGTGCTTTTCTAATTGGATTTGTCTATACTTATCGATCGTTGTAACAGATATACTGTACAGGGCCGGCGGAACGTTTTTCAAAGTGTGGGGGGGGGGGCACTTATAAGATGAATGGGAATATGAATCATGCAGATCTGGAATCAAATCTAGGGGGTCCTGGGTCTTCTCATCACGGGAAAATTTTAATTTCTAGATGGCAGGAAATGACTTTTCTCGACTTTTGAGCTAGGTGTCTAATGACTTTGTTTTTCAAAATTAAAGGTTTTCCCCCTCTTGAAAACGGCCAAGTAAACTTTCTCATTTCTTATTACAGTAAATAGGCCCGATATGTATGTAAACATACATTTAAAAAAATGAGTAGTTGCGTAGGTCTACGTATTCTTTTCTCAATGAATCGATAAGCTCCAAAGGAAAAAAGTGGGGGGGGGGGTGTCCGGGGTTCTCCCCCGGGAAAATTTTGATTCCTAGAAGCCGGGAAATGAGCTTCCCGACTTCTAAGTTGTCTTTTAATTACTTTTAATTTCTTCAAAATTCAAAGTTTCCCCTCTTGAAAATTATTATAATGAATCAATAAACCCAAAGAGAAAAGGGAGGTTCGGATTTCCCGGGAAAATGTTGATTTCTAAATTGTGGGAAATGAGCTTTCCCGATTTCCAAAGTATCTTTTAGCGATTTTAATTAAAGTTCTTCAAAATTCAAGGTTTCCTCTCTTGAAAACGGTCAGGTAATTTTTTCCACTTGTTACATTAAATAGGCCTTATGTGTGTATACATAGGCATACATAAATAAAATTGAGTAGTTGCATACGAATTTTTTTTTTTCATGAATTGATAAGTCCTAAAAAGAAAGGGGGGGGTCCGGGGTTGTCCCCGGGAAAATTTTGATTCCTAGATGGAGGGAAATGAGCTTTTCTGACTTCTGAGGTGTCTTAATTCTTTTAAGTTCTTCAAAATTCAAGGTTTTCCCCTCTTAAAAATTATTATAATGAATCAATGAACCCAAAGAGAAAAGAGAGGTTCAGGTTCTCCCCGGGAAAATGTTGATTTCTAAATGGTGGGAAATGAGCTTTCCCGATTTCTGAAGTATCTTTTAGCGATTTTAATTAAAGGTCTTCAAAATTCAAGGTTTCCCCTCTTGAAAACGGTCAGGTAATTTTTTCCTATTGTTTTTACAATAAATAGGCCTTATGTATGTGTACATACATAACATAAAAAAAAAATATTGAGTAGTAGCATACGATTTTTTTTCCCATGAATCGATAAATCCCAACAAGAAAGGGGGATCCGGGGGTTTTCTCCCGGGAAAACTTTTGATTCCTAGAAGGCGGAAAAATTAGTTTTCCCGACTTCTGAGGTGTCCTTTAATTACTTTTAGGTTCTTCAAAATTCAAGGTTTTCCCCCTCTTGAAAATGATTCAATGAATCAATGCACACCAAAGAAAAAGGGGTCCGGGTTCCCCCGGGAAAATTCGATTTCTAGATGGCGGGAAATGAGATTTCCTGACTTCTGAAATGTCATTTATAAATGACTTTTTAATTTCTTCAAAATTCAAGGTTTTCCCCCCTTGAAAACGGTCAGGTAAATTTTTCTCATTTTTTATTTTATGTGTGTATACACATAAACAAATATGTAGTTGCATGCGTATTCTTTTTGCCATGAATCGATAAATCCCAACAAGAAAGGGTGGTCCGGGGGTTCTCTCCCTGGAAAATTGTGATTCCTAGATGGCGGGAAATGAGCTTTTTCGACATTTGAATTATGTTTTAATGACTTTTTTGTTCTTCAAAATTCTAATTTTCTTAAGTGTAAAAAAAAAATCAGCTCACGGGTCCTGAAAAGGTAGGTCTAGAATTCTTCCCCCCCCCCTTTTTTTGGCCCAAGGGAGGGGTCAGGACCGATGACGCCCTCCTCCAGATCCGCCAATGTGAATTGCGAGAAAATGTAACTCGGTCGGGGACTGGATAAACATTCTCTTTCCCATCCTTCTCCTTCTTCCCTCTTTCTTTTCTTGCATTTCTTTCCGATCATACAAAAATCTCCAGACATTATATATTTTTTGCCAAAAAGTGGTGGGCCCG